GTAGTATTTGAAGAATTGTTTGAATTCTCCCGTAACGCTTTGTACTTTTTGTATTTTGATCTTATATAATAAGCCATCAGACATATTCCAGCGAATACGAGAAGAAACTCCAACATCTCGATTTTATTCCTGATAATAAATTTACCAGACCGAAGTCGTTTTAATAAATTAATTTAGGACAATTATAAGGATCTTAACATAAATAGTTTACAATTAATAAATTTCATATTTATATCTCGTGCCAGTATCATTTAGAAAACTTCCCATTTTAGCTTGTCGTTTATTTATTAACTGTATTAGATACCTATATGCTGATGACAGTCTTCAAGAATTTAACGCTTATTTTCAAGATTAACGATATTGATATATTTTAATTAAAATTGATTGATAAAACGATAATTTGATTTAGCAAATTGATTGACAAATTTTAATTAAAATATTAGTTAAAATATTAATAAAATTAAATTTAAAAAATATTAATTTTACTCCTGCTCAACTTGTGGTGGACCTACGAGTTTTAATCCGGTATTATATTATAAAGAAGTAAATTTGAATCTGAGTTAAAAAATAATAAACTGAAAATTCAATTATTAAATTTTGATAAAAATGAATTGAAGTTTTGATTTGATTTCAAATAAAATTGTAATTTTGAACTTGCTCAATTTGAGACACCAAATTTCCCCCCCCGTGTTTCGAAACTTCAACTGGACTAGTATTAAAAAGCTCAATAACTTAACAGCTCCACACATGTAACTTAACAGCTCAGTGCTTTAAACAACTAAATGACGACTCAGTTGTTAAAGCCACTGAACTATTCATTATTAAGGACTGGGAGGGGGTTCGTTCATTAGCGGTGGCATGAAGCCCACTAAGTTTATAACTGGATGGATGGGTACCAGATTGTCTAGGTAATAAAGACGGCAAGTGCGCAATGCCGATCTCATTGTCGCAATCACCCCATTAGACTCGGAGCTTTAACCTCCATAACCCTCGGCGCACAGTGGACTGTGGCAGGAATACTTTAATTTTAGGTTTTAAACTAATAATTTTAATTTCTGAGCATAACTGTGAACAGGATTTAAAATATTGATATAGTTCAAATGCATTAAGCTTTCTTCTACTAAAATTTTCGTCGAATCTTGGAGCGCAATACTTAATGATCGCAATTACTTGAACTAGATATTTATTAATGATAAAAATGATGACAATGATATCAATAAAGAATTTATTAATGACTGATTAATGATTAATTTATAATACTCATTTAAAAATTGTACAAAAATTTCGGAAAAAAAATTCTTACTATTATTGTGCAAAAATCGAGATTGTATATTTTTTTTACTGATCAGTATTTGGGCTGGGCGCTTGTGTTAGAAAATAAAAATAAAATGTATTTAAAATCAATAGTTGATTGAGTTTCTACGCGAAGCAATTATAGTATTTATTCTCCACTACTTCGCTTCTTGTGTGTAGTACTTACTGCTACTCAGTTTGAAAAATACATGTAGGTTCCGTTGCCGATTTTGAAAGCTTGCTGCACCCCTTAAATCGGTGATCCAACTCGTCGGTGAGGTTCTCGATTGGGTTCAGGTCTGGGCTCTGGACAGGGCAGTTCATTTGGTTTATCCTATTATCATCATACCGAGATCATGCAGCTAGCGTTACTATCCCGGATGTAACACGGGTTCAGCGTGCGAAACTGCTGCCAGATAGGAAACACACTGTTATCTAAAATGGTGCAGTAGGTGTGTACATACCATAAATTGAGCATATCATAAATTTGGAATAAATATCCCAGTTCATAACAGGAGAAACAGTCACATACTATAATTCCACCTTTGCCGATATCCGTAAGTGCCTAAATAATTATTGGTAGATAGGAAAAAATTCTTACTGTTATTGTGCAAAAATCGAGATTGTTTACTATTTCTACCAATGAGTATTTGGTATATAAATACGAATCATTCAAGCCGTTGATAAGTTCCGAGTTAGGTGGGAGTCCTAAATTTAAATATTTAGTTTTTACGTAAATTCAAAATTAGGTTGAATGCACTCAATCCAATTTTTTCAATTAAATATGCATTTTTTCCTAATCTTTTTGTTTCCCCTGTAAAATTAGAAAAAAAAATTGATAGCCTTAAAATCAAATGCCTAAAATCCGGCTAAATTTGATTTGTACACTTTTTTTAACATATCGAAAATTATTTTCATAATTGTTTAAAAAATAAAAGGAATTTGAAAGAATATTTTTAAGAAGCTTTAAAATGAGTAAATCTCGCTTTCAAGAGCATACTTTTTATTTTATTATTTAACAAGACATTGTACAACTTTTGGTAACTTTCATTAAACATTTTCAAGGTTAAACAAAAATTTAAATAATGCTTTCAGTATTGCAATAAGAAAAACTTTGGGAAGGAATGGACCCAAAACCATTGGTTTCAAACAGTTGTTGATATAATACAAGTCAAGGCTAGTTTGAGAGTGCTTTCCAAACGAAAAGCACACCAAGAGGTACTTATGCAGGAATAATAATAACGAATTTTACTTGATAGATACAGTCATTTGAAACCAAGTTTCAACAAAAAATTGCTGAACCGTGAATCGAGGCAACTTCACCAGATTTTTCAAAGGGGATTTTTGTCGCTCAGACGAATTTCTGATCGGAACAATATGGGAGACAGTTGAAAAGCTGAATGGATGGAGGTTAAAGGACATTTTAGAAAAATTTGTGCACATTAGCTTTAAAGTTTATATGTTAATAATGATCCTTGCTTTCATTTCTAGCGTAAGCTTCCATTTAAGCTTTTTTTTATTTCTGTTGCGTTTTCACTCTTGGCGTCTTAATTTGTTAGCAAAAGACAAGTTCTCTAAGATTTCTCAAAAACTGGTTGTTTCCAAGTCCTATTCATTATCCATTTCGACTCAAAAAAACTCAGATCATCTAAGTTTAAAGATTTGACAAAATAAATGATCCAAAATGACGAAACCAACCTATATTTTTTCTAAAAAAAATTTCACTTAGAGCCTACATCCACTGAGTTCTTCAAGTGCATTCGTAAATCATTCTCTGTATTGCTCAATTCAGAAACTTGATCAGGGTATCAAAAGTTATTTTTAAATTATTACTCCAGATGGCAAAGTTGTCTCGGTTTACAATATAAATATATATAAGAGGGTTACATAAATGACCACAAGCATTCAAATGATACATTATAAGCCATTCAATATAGCAAATATTTATTAACAATATAATTTAATGTTACGATTAAGATTTAATGGACTTTGATTAAGGGCGGATTACGGATGCTGGAATGGTAGGCATTTTAAAGTTTTCGAATGATGGCAGTACTGGAACTCTCCTAAATTGGTTAAGATAGCTAGCATTGAATGTTACGCTAGAATGCGCTAAATTCTTTGTTACAAGTTGTACATACTATATGTGACTACATCTTTTTTTTATTATGCCTATATGGACATAAAAATATTTCATTTCCTTGAAAATAGCATGAACAATACAGGCATTTTTCAGTTGGATAGCAATATATCCTAATAATAACGACTTAATTAATCCTGTTAAGATTTAAGGAAACATGTATGCTTAGATATGACATAGAGTTGAGGATATTTCATTCCAATGAAATGACATGAACAATCCAAGCAAATTTTAGCTGGAATAGCAGCATAATCCAATAATAATTGAAATAATCAATTTCCCCAATATTTAGGGTTAATTTAGTTGAGTCTTCAATTTAGTTAGGGTCTAACTGAATATTATTTTAAATTTAATAATAATAATTGTAATTTGCTAGCAATATTTCAATACTTTTATATTAAAACAACTCTCGAAGCTTAAGAGACCTCTTCTATCGCTCAGCACAATTGTCTAAGAGGTGAAGACAGACGGGGAAAGTAAATTACGGTTGTAATTCTAAATACATGATTTTCAATATAATTTTCACAAATTAATTGATAATTTTCTTTTCTTTACTCGGTAATATCCTTCGAAACATGCAAAATACAATGTATTTACCCAATTAGAATCAGTGAAGTATAGTGCCATGTTAATAAAGAATTTCAATCATTTTTTTGGGGGCAAATTTATATCAATACAATTTTGCTATCGGTAATACTAGAAATGTAATTTAGAATGATGTTTTTTTTTAATTTCAAGGCTCTTGAAATTGTGTCTTTGTTTTTGCATAATCTTTCAATTGGTTTCTATCAGCTTAAAGGAAAAAAAACGCATGTTTTTAAAAATCTACAAAAAGTCAAATGTAATAACCTATTTAAAATCCTAAATAAGTATAACTTTACTGTTTTATTGATTCATTCATTTATTTATTTTTTGTACAAGTTTTTAAGGGCTATATTTTCCTACTATAGAAACCTTCATTTTCCAAGATTCTGCGCAGTGGAATGATATTCTATCATCGAAAATTAGTTTAGAACACAAAACTTGGACAAAATGAAAATCAAGCATTTAACCTAAAATACAAGATGGTGGAGGAAGAAGGCTCTTAAATTTTTTATGTAAGTTATTTAATTGCTATTTTTTTAAAAAATAAAATGTAATAAATTGTACAAATGCTCTGTAGCAACAAAAAGAACACAATTGTTTGTATAAAAGAGAGCTTTGAAAACAGTGTGTCTCTATTTTTAAAATTTGTTTTCCGATTAAAAAATCGTGAGAATAATTTTTCAGCATCTCATAGCTATGAGCAGGCAAACGTTACACCAACATGTTGAGACAATTTGCAATGAAACTTAATTTCTTTTACAAATTATTTAATCCCCATTCGTTTAAATCTGCAATATATAATTATAAAGAATACAAAATGTTAGGCATTGATATTTTGAATATTGAAATATTTCAGAAATTTAATAAAAATCGAATACAATTAACATGAACCTCAACACAGTCACAAAATATTGTATTATTTATTTTGTTAATTTTCCGATATCAATGATTCCTCCCTCTTTTTCTTTTCTTTTTAAAATGCATCAAGTCGATTAGAAGTCTATTCATTTTCATATGTGGAGTATTCGCGCGATCAGCAAGTACAGTGAAATTTCGATTATTCGTTGTATTCGCTGGTGCGGCAGTCGATGATAATGCCATACGAGAAAAAAAAGAATTTTTCTTAAGAAATAAATTTAAATATGAATAAACATATAAGAAAAATCGATCAACAGCTATTTATTCCTCAAAATATGCTTCCCCTTTATTTTTCATAGAGCATTTTTAAAAATATTTTGTTGTCACAAAAAAAAAAAAAAAAAAAAAAAAAGAAACGAAAGAAAGCGAATTCTGAATAATTATTCTCTTAGATACTTACTAGCCCGTAAAACCTTAAAATCGTTCAAATTTGCTGCAACGAGGTTGAATCAGATTATTATCGTTCTTCTTAAACTATTCTACCAAATTTAATGCTTTATTAAAGATGCAACAGATTTGCATCATATTATAGTACACGATACCGATATTACGGTTCAATATTGAACCAATTTTTTGAGAGTATGTCGAGATAATCGAAATCCAGGGACGATTGAGAGATTACTGTTTATAATACTAATATTTCCAGTGTTAAAGCACATCATACATTTTTCACTGATTATAAAATTTTTTTAAAGAACTTGAAATAATACAATTGATGACAAATCTAGTATAATTAGATTCAAAACATTATTTTTAAGTCGTGAAGTTTCTTTCTTATTACATAAAGTAACGTAATAACAATGTATTTTATAAGAAAAGGATTTAAAATATATTATTATCAATATGTACAAAATAAAGGATTGGAACTGAGGGTAAAACAGATGCTTACTTATTACAATCATGCATATTGTTAATTAATTCATTATCAATGTTTTAGTATTCCTAATAAACTTGGAGGTTATTTAAGAAATTGTAATCTATCTGTTAGCATGTTCAGGTACTTCAATTTACTAACATATTAATTACATTAGTGAATATATATATGATACATAATTCTAAGTTTTATATAATATTTATATTTCGATATAGTACAAATATTAATATTTTTACAGACTGTGTGTTAGATCATAAACTGAATTATAAAAAAAATATTTACCATTTAAAATTTATTTAATAAAATATTAATTTATTTTTATTTTAACTGCATTATGATAAATTGTTACTTACAATATTTTTTAAGCGAAAAAAATTTATTTAATAAATTCTAAATTATGCCAAACTGTCATTTGAATATAATGTTTTTAAGCATGCTAATTGTAACTTATTAGCCTTGTGAACAGGATTATTGAATTCATTCGCAGTTATAAAACATAAAAGGCTAAGCTCATATTGCTGGAGCTTTTTAATTAATACTAATTTTCTACATAGCTTACGCAACTACAAATCTTCTATGTATTGTATATATATACATACTAATATTGCATCACTTCAATGTTAATCTTATAAAACTTTTGAAAGCACAGGTATACTTTATAGCAATTACCAGAACTTAGCACAAAACTCTCTCTTCTCTGTACTAATTTTAAAAAAAATTAGTGAGATTTATTTGAATTGAGCTTATCGATATTATATTTGCATAATAACTTGTATTTTTTCAATTTTTAAAGAATATTGTTTCTTGAAATAGCGTTAATGATATTTTAAATTTTCTTTTTATCCCGGTTACTTAAAAGTACTGAGCACTATTATTATTTGATACATTATATGACGACCGCATACTTTTAAAGACTTACTTTAAAATAGTTCCTTTACTTGAGCATTCATTGTTTACGTGTATTAGTAACTTAAATAATTTTTGACAAAAACAAATCTTTTTTACGTAATGAAAAAATTTTTAATGAAAGAAAAGCTATTCTTTTTGCTTATGGTATAATTTAAATTGTACCAAGAATGGACTTTTTTGGAAACTTTCGACAAAAGAATTTTTCTTTTAATTTTATAATTGAATCAAGAAAACTTATAAAGCAATTATTATATTTAGAACTTCAAAATTTTAAATTGTAGTTGTTTCGCTGTTTATTTTCTCAAACTGCAATGTTAGAATATTTTACTTAATGTGAAATTTTAAATCTATTTCAAATGTTACGATGCAAGAAAATTTAAAGTATCTGCTGTGAGATTTTTAATATGCAGCTTTCTAATATGATTAAAAAACTGTTTTATACATTTTACGGATTAAACATTCTTGCTTCATTATATTTTTAAATTCTTTTCATATTTATTTAAAAGAGAATTAACTTGTTAACAGAAATACTCTTTCAATCTTCACAAATGAGTCACACTTTTAAAACATGTTAAAACAAAATAATAGAACTAAAATTATGACTCTAATAAAGTTCAAGAAAAAACTAGAGATTCAAAGAATTAAAGAATTATGTCAATTATCGATAAAATATCTAACAAACTGAACACCCAAATTTACTTGGACGTTTATTAATATTTTGTATTTTAAGGATTTTATACTCTTATCCTAAAGATTACACTCCTTAAGTTATCATTAATTCAATTTTATAACTCAAATAAAAATAACAAAATATTTTTTTTAGATTGTGATGTAATGCTTCTCATTCACACTTTACATTTAATAAGATCATTTTGCTATATTTAAGGCAAGTCTTGTAACTCAAGTTAGAAATAAAAATTTTAAATTATTTAGCAATGCTTCGCTTTTTAACTCTACGTTTAAGAAGTTCTTTTATCAATATTTTATAACGAATTTTTCAGGCTTGTAATTCAAATCAAAGGAATAAAACAATATCTTGAATTATATTGTAATTAAATCGACTTTTAAAAAGTTCGTTTAGCATTAGTTTGTAACGAGTTTTTAATTTGTGTATTGCATATGGATTAACTAGTGAAAGTGCAAATAATCGATATTCATAACTTAGAAGGTAAACAATGTGCAAAGAATGAGCAATATTCAGTATGACAGTCACAGTAAATACTCAAAAATATCATTAAAAGGCACATCGTACGTTACGCTTTAAAGGTAAAATTGAAAGACTTTGAAAGCTTACAGAACAAAAATTAGGAAACAACATGATGTTTCAAATAAACACATTTTTAATAGTAGCAGAGCAAATATTATGGAATATATTCAGCTTTATACACATGAATATTTAAAAATATATCTTTAAATGTGCAACAAAATAATTGCACCCAACGTAACTTATAATTATAACAAAATATAATATGTAATCTGAAACTTTGCATGGTTATCAATTGCATTTGTTGTTTTTTTTAGACGAATATACTCTATATAGCACCGCTTAGTAAATATTGTAAATAAATATTATTTTCTCATTTATTTTTAAAAATGAACATCATTGCATCAATGGTTTCCTGAAAGATGGATGTTACAAATCTAAATTTTTCCTGGAACGAAGAACATATATAGATTAGAAATTTTCTGAGCATTTGGTGTATAACTGCAGGCTCTTCTTCCACCATAATATTTAATGAAAGATAAACGAATGATAATTTTGTTAAACCTAACCCTTAAAGCAGAAAATATATACGCACCTCGTCCATTTAAAAAAATTAATAAACTATACTGCAGAAATTATAATAGAACCTAAACGAACATATTAAATTTAATATATTTGCAATGAAGAATAACGATTCAAAATCTGGCAAACATATTTTTATTTACTCCCAAAAATTATCAGTTTATTTACTACCTCCATTAAAATGTTTCACTTACATTTCCGAAAAGTCGCTCAAAAATTTCTTTTGAGTGGTATTATGTAGTAAATATTGTGCTGCCATCTATTTATTAGAGATTAAATTAATCAAAGGACTACGATTAAAAAAAAGTACATTGCAACATCACATTTACACTCTTGATTTTCCAATTATTGAAAATATATCAAACGTAGGATGACTCCTTGTGCTACTTTCACTCATTTACCTGCATTTGATGGCGTTATTCTCAACACCATAAGAGACACGAAAACGAAATTATCAATGTCTTAATTTTCATATTCCCATTATTTATAATAGATTCGTTTTTTTTTTTAAAAATTATTTTTACGTTGTTAACAGATTTCATAAAAATAATATTTACAATCAAAATGAAATATTTTAATGACAACATTTCAAATTTTCCAACATTACTATGTTTTTAAGAACATACAGAAAATAATAACTTCTGTTGTTACTATAACTTTATCTTTCCATTTCAAAAACATCTTTGCAAAAACATAAAAACCATGTTTTGGGGAATTTGAAAATAACAATACTTTATTTTGCTGTATGAGAACTAATGGATTTCAAAAGGCAGTAAGAGAAAGAAAAGACATTTAAAATAACACCAATAATTCTACATAGACTTGTTACCGCGGCAATATTTTGAATAATTTGTAACAGAAACCTTTCTTTCAGGAAACCATTCAGATTATTCGACAAATTTTTTGTTAAAAATTTTATTACTTATTAATTAGTAATGTACATGGAAGTTAGGAGTTACGAAACAAAGTTTGTTTATTTCTAAAGGAAGACAGAAGCCGGATATTAAATCGAAAACTTATGAGCCCAATTTGTTAAAGACCTATCAGACATTTAAAACTATTTAACTTTACACTTTCTTTACACAGTGAAACAAAAAACTTCAACAATAAGTTCTGACGTGCAAAACAAATAAAGGATTTCATTCAAAACATGAGCTTTAATACATATGTATTGTTTGTGTAGCAAAATATAGATTCATTGCTTAAGTTCTGGTATTGCATAAAACTTAGACATTGTGTCTAAACCTATGGATCATCGATGCAACTATAATCGGTTGGATAGATAACTCATTCTCTAGGCACTCGTTATTCGTTTGTTAAGGTTTTAAAGTTCCTTCTTGGATTAATGTGTACATTCGTCGTGTGTATGTGTTTGCTGTAAATATTTATTCCAACCATCTAGCAATTTCGACTTCTAAATACTAGGGCGCGAGAAATATAAAACAGAAATCAAAGCCAAGACTCTTTGTGAGACTTTTGTCTAAGGTCCCGTGTGTTGATCGATGGGATTTTCAACAATGTGTACCTCTTGCTTGTAAGTTGTCGTTGTAATGCTTGCTGGGGTTGATGGCAGTAGATTTGCTTGGTTGTCGTAAGCAATCGAATTTCTGTAAGCTTGAAGTACTTTGAATGCTGTAATAAAAGAAGATTGCAAAAACTGTGTTTAAACTACTTAAGAAAAAATTTCGAATAATAATAACAATAATAAAATCCTTTTCTAACTACAGAGAGAGAATGTTAATTTTTGCAAAAGTTTTACTAACTCGCTTTCGTATTCGTGAGGGTAAAATTTTGCAATCGAAATTTCCAACATTTCTGAGAAACTAGAGCTCTCAAATCTCGACTGGAGCACCATGCTAATGATGATAAATTTTCTAATCATTTCTTTACTTCTACAAGTAGAATTTATCACCAAGTTACAGTTAAATAGAATTTTTCGTCTTGCTAAATTTCGACTACTTTCCGACAAGTTAACAAGTCTAACTAAATTTTAACTGGAGCTCTGCTTCTGATGATAATGGAAGTTAAAAATTATTTCTAAACATTGCAAACAGAATTTACCGCCAATGGAAAGTTCGACCACTTTTTTTTATGTAAAGATCTAGGGAATAAATCGAAAATAAATAAGGAAATCAAAATTTTAAAAACTATGTTTTCAATGTACTGAAAAATGGAAAAAAATGCCTTAACTTAAATCGTATCTTGTACTTTATTTTCCATCCAAACTTCTATCATAACCGAAAATTCTTATTTATTTATTTATTTTTTATTATCCTATTATTTATTTATTTTTTATTTTATCATCTTTGTTAAGACAGTTTGTGCTTTGGGAAAACAGCGAAACTTCAGATAATATTTCATACCAATGTATTATGAATTCCGACTTCAAAATAAATCATCACATAGTATTTTTGAATATTTCTGATTTCCAAATAATCCTGTATATAACTTATAATGAAAATAATCAGTTATTGGATTTTTATAAACAGAGATGGAATTACTGTTCTGGAGACGCATCGCAGTTTAAGGACTTCAGTGTTGGTTCTTTCAGCTCAATTGTTTCGTTCAATGATTGTATTTTATAATTATTTTATAATTACATCTTTCAAATAAAAATAAGTTCTAAAACACTATTAAGCATTTAAGAACAATAATGAATATTTTACTGAAATCTGATCATAAATAATTTTTTTTAAAGCAAAGCGGAGGGAAAAATAGACCATTAAAGATGTTTAGGTTCTATAAAAACATCGTAACTACATTATTTATGCACAATATAAATGTTTTTAGATTAAATTTTGTGGGTGGAGGATTCGATTTCGTAAGAACATTATCATATATGGATTTCAGGGAGAATGTTTTAAATTTCATCGAGTAATTAATTGATTAAAACTTATCCCTTAGTAACTCATAAAGTTATTACATGCAGTTAATTTGTTAACACTTCTAGGATTTTTTTTTAAAATCTCGGTAAAAGGAAGGGGAAAATACCAAACGAAGTCCTAATACAAAATTTAAATTTAAAAACACGTATTTCTAAATACTTGTACGTCGAAATAAGAAAATTTTCATACGTTTTAATCCTGTAAGGGATCAAGGAGGACTTTCGTAAGAATACAATGACACGGCACATTTTTAAACTGTTTTTAAGAGGGATTTTGGTTAATAGAGCTGCTATTACTTCCACGTATATAAAAAGATTTTCTTTTAAGTTGTGTTTTGATACCCAAGAAAAATTCCGGAAGCTTGTAAAATATTTATCTGGAAGCAATATAAAGGAACAATTTATTGTGACTCTGTCAATTAAAAAAAGTGACTTCTCTTCATATTGCCCCTCAAATGTAACAAAAATTGATGTCCAATTGTAAAAATGCTAACCCAGAGGATTATAGTTTTTCTTTCGTTTGTTTTTCATATTGGCATGTGAAATTTCAAATAATTAGTCTAGTATTTTTAAGGGCAGAAATGTATTTTACTCACCAAAGAAATAATTATAAGAATGAATCATTCATTTTTTTTACCATTTATTGTGGTACCCTAAGGGACCTATTTATTATGGTTCTTAATGAAATACATTCTAATAAAAATTATACGTCTATAATGTAACCTTGAAAAACTACTATTTTATGCTATTCTTTAGGTCGAAATGAGTTAGTAATCTTACCATCATTGCTCGTAGATGCAGCAGATGATCGTCTTCGATATTGATTTACAGCTATACAGAAATATAAGATTATTTTAAAATGTATGTTCAATTTACGAAAAGATCAATTGCATCAATTTTAAATTTTAATCAAAATATGGAATAAATAGTTAACTGAACATTAATTGTTTATATTTTAAAACAGCATATTTATTTTAAATAAGCTGATCTCATCTTATATTTTGTGAGGGTCAAATTTGCCTAAACGGATTAAGGTTAATCAAAATGTAAAAATTTAAAAATAAATATTTAAAAAAAATTATAATTTAAGCACTTTATGACTTATAAATGTAAACGTGTTCATGTCCATGCAGAACACAAGAAGGTAAAAATCCTGCAATTTATGGTTTTTTCCAAACGAAAAGTAGTTTTCTTAAAAATGAATCAAACTTCAATAAATTTCATTTACAGAGTTAAAAGAAACAATGATAAAAGGAATTTAAAATTTAGTAAATTCAAGTATTTATAAAAGTTTTATTTTGGGAGTACTTATTTAGAATTTTTTTAAAACAAAGCTGTCTTCTGATGAATTTCAAAATGTTTTAAAAATAATTACCATATCCTAATCCTTGTAAGAACAGATATAAAGCTTCACGGACTTTATTTGGCCGCTCTTCTAGTGGCATACCACAGTCTGATAACTAAAATATACAAATGTATTATATAATGAGTTTTTACATTCTGAAGGCATTAGTATATTAAAATCTTAAATTTGAAAATGCACATTAAATTCAGTTTTGCATTATCTTAAAATTATTTTTTCGTCTTACTTTATGAACTTTACTTTCTATATTGTACTTTTTGTAATCGTAAAGAAAATTTGGATGACTGCATTCGATCGCTTACCAAATTTTTAATAATCTTGAGCGCATAAACGTCAACAAATTATAAATGAAATTGTTCAAAAATATAAAAGGATATAAACATTCAAAGAGATATGGCTGTTTCTAAATAAATATAAAATATTTTTTGACTTGTTTCTAATGAATTATACATTATGAAAAAATTTCGGTTAAAATTACTGTTAAAAGTACCGTTACACATTGTGCCGGTACATTTTATCGTAAAAACCATTTTTTCGGGAACATATAACATATAATGGAGAAAAATAATCGGAACTATCGTAATTTTATTAATAATTACAGTAAAATCATAGAGTCATTCTATTAAAATAAATATTATTGTAAAAATTACGGTATAATATTTTGCGGTAAAAATGGAGTTTACAGTGAAATTTATTTTAAAGATGATTTATTTTAAAGATGATTATTTTAAAGATGATGCCAATACTTTATACCAGTACTTTATACTTCACCCAGAATTTTTTATAGTGCAAATAAACTATATTATGTGGAAGAGAGTGATTAATTTTTGTTATAGGCAGTACATCATTCAAATACTATTCTTAAATCTTCATTAAAACTTTAATATTAATAACCAAGCAGGATGTATATTCACATCTTAGAATGTCACCTTATAACGCTAACACTAAAACTGACAAATAAGACTTGGACAATACAAAATATCTCAAAGACGAAGTATTTTCCTCAAAAAAATTATTCTTCTTTCTTTAGGAATTGGGTATTTGCACTCCAAGAAGAAGATCACAAATACCCACGCGAGTGACCTATGTTGTCAGCTCCAGTTTATCGTTTATAAGCGAAATGGCGGTTTGAGTGGAAATAAGTTTCTCCATATAAGTTAGAATGCTAATTAACGTAAAATTAATTAAATACAGCGCTGTATCTCACATCGAATGTGAACATAATTCTTTCTCGTCTATATCTTTTACTGGTTTTTATCTTTTACTTTTTATTATTTGTTCATATGTTCATTGTAACGGTGATGTACTTTTGTTTTGTGTGCCTGGCAACTTTGATGTATTATTAGTTTGTTTATGCTCAACATGGTTTCATGCCTGTCTTTGAATTAAGTAAGAAGCATAGTGAGAGAATTTAAATCCTTGTGAAAGAATCTCTGCGTAAGAATATAGAATGTGTCACTTAAGAGAATCGATACTTCACGGGCTTGACTTGCTTGAAATAGAATGAAAAGAGCAGTTGCTAACGTAAGCAAATGCCACGTTTCAGCAACCAATCAGAATCCAGATACCCACACTACGTCACTTGCAATTATTCCCTTGTACTACGGAATTTAAATACATACGCAGAAAGATAAATACAAAATATACGAGAGTGACGTAAGGCACATAAAATTTGTTAAGATTTTTAATTGAAACTTTTCTTCACATGGTCAGAGATGTTGTTTGATATGGTTCTATTAGTTAACTTACTTTCATCCATGTTGAATTAGATGGATCCAATCGACCATTCATGGTAACTGTATCTTCAACATGGGGAGAGAAGGCACCGGACATCAATAGGACGTGGCATCTGCAAAATGTTTTTTTGCTTACTTGGGTGAATATTTAACTTCCTATTTATCAGTTATTTACTTTAGAGTAGTTACAACAAAAGAAAATATTATGTATTTAAATATTCTGGTAAAACTAACTTGCCTGAAATTCCTTACACATCTTTTTTTCGCAGGATCTGTTTCCCGAACTATTTGTAAATCAGTTCGTCTGTGAAGAAAAATAAATTTAAATAAATAATTATATGTGAAGTTTTAATTCGAAACAGTTAAAAAATTTTAATGCTTACCGAATAAAAGAATCTATAAAAAGAGACAGGTTATATGGATTTACAGATTTCTTGAAATAATGCCTAAATAACTGAATTAAGTCATAGCTGCGAGTTGGCACTGTCTGCAAAATACAAAAGGAAGATATTTTAAAATTTAACACTTTAAAATTTAAAAAAAGTTAAAAAATTGAATAAAATATTTTTAAGAATATTTTTTTAAATATGTATACTGCAAAATAAAGAGGAAAGATATTCAAAAATTTAACACTTTAAAATCTAAAAACTTAAAACAATGAGGAAAAAAACTTTTAAGAATAATGTTTTTAAATATATATAAAAAAAAGGAACGAGAGTTTCATTTTTTAACTTCCTTAGAGGAAAATTAGTTTGTAAAGGTTAAGAATAATTTTTTCAAAATAGAGAAAAATTTAACGATGTCAAGTGAGTCGATGGTTTTCACTTAAACATTCCAAATTGGAAAACATTGGCTCAAGTTCTCACTCGCATATTTTTGAAGAAAATTAATGATTTGATGTAAATAATTGTAGATAAGTGATATTGTATAGTAAAAATTTTAAACTTTTTAATTAAAGCATGTAGATTTTTACAATACAGTTTTATACATATATTTGTCTATCAAGTACCAACACAAAATTTTCCAATCTATTACACTCAAAATTTGAAAATCAGCGAACTTTAAACATTTTTATCCAATTAGGCACTGATCAGTCTACTGATCTGAAAATTTGCTGATATGCATTATAAACATAGATGCAAATTTCTAGAAACGTTAAGTGAAGGGATATTTAAATCCCATTTTTCATGAAGTGATCCAAAGCGAAAAAAAAAGCGCTTTTATCTGGTGAAGAGATGAAAACTATTTTTTATCGAAAACAACATGTCTTTTAGGTTAGTTTACCTTTCCAAAGTGATGCCACATTAAATATTCTTCTGTTGAAGCGGTCATCCCTGAATTCCTAAGGTACATGGTATTGAGTTTCTGATATCCCCACTCTGTCCACCCTGCTGCGGTTGATGCGCAGTTTACAAGGAAAAGACCATCCACAAATTGTGGATACATCAGCTGTAAAAAATCACAGATCTTAAGAAATTGTTATTTTAAATCAATAGCTTTTAGAGCAATATGACAATCGCAACAGGTGTTCAAAGAATAAATTTTTTATTTAATTATTTGGCAAATTACTACAGTTCATATTCTTTTATTTTCTACCACTCTTATGGTATGATAATAGGATAGATTTTGTCCGTATAAAAATGAGATAGGTATTTAAAGCAAAAACCTCGAATAACTACACATTTTGTTTCAATCCAGTGTCAATTAATTGAATTTTAAGATTTTCGAATCGTTCAAATTTAAAAATGTGTTTTTGGAATGTAGCGATCAGATAAGCCAAAATAATCTATAAAGAATACTTTTAAACTGATCTTAATGGAGTCTTTTCAGGTTATGAAACATATGAAGAAAAACTCTAATTTCTAGTTATGTTCAAATTTCTCGAAAGATGACATTTGCTGCTGAGATAATTTTGTCCCTTATTTCATCCAAAAGCATTATTAATGTTCTACTGTATAAAATTTAGAGTAATTCTTTGTTTTACGAAAATATCTACCAGTTGTCCTATTATTATAAAAAAAGAAAACATGAAATATATTGTCATACTTACTGCAAAGCGACTTAAAATGTTTGCACCAGCTCCAACACCAAAACCAATAAAATGTTTTAAGCTATAAAAAAGTAAAAAAAATAATCAATGCAATATATACAGTAAAAGGGAAATGATAACAAAAAAATGGTTATATATGTTTAAACTAACTATTGAACTACCATTTTTAAAATTCAATGTTTTAATGCAATACACATACATACTTACTTATACTACATACTTATAATATGAACTATATACTATACCCGTAATGTTCCAGAACTGCGAGTATCATTTCAGCTAATGTGTCCAATGTTGGATATGTGAATCTAAAAAAAAAAATTAATAAAAAGATCAGATATGAGCATGGAGTTTTGATTATTTTATTTTAAGCTAAATTTTGACCTGAATTTGTTTTAGAAAATGTCCTCAGAAATGATATCCGTACTCTCTGATAAAGGAACGGAAAGGCACGTATTTGTTTTTGAAGTTGCAAGTTGACATGCCTCACGTTTTAAAAAATTCACACTGACAAAGCCACCATGCTTTGAAAACATTTTAGAGGAAAAAGGTAAAAAGAGAAAAATTGAGTAAATATTTTTCTTTTAGATATTGGCTAAATTATTTCATTATCTATCGTATAAAGAACTGTTTTTCATCGTATTCAATCATAAGGTAGCAAGTGATAAAAACGGATCGAGCTGATTCCGACCTAATAGAAATCTTCATTAAAAGATTGAAAAATAATTAAAAAATTTTCGTTCAAAAACTGTTGAAGCATAATATTTTCTTAGGGTCAGATAAAAAACAACGTATGCTAATTCCCTCGACATGCTTTGCCGAATATAATTTTGAGAAGAAACTCAGCGTATGAACCAATTCATATTTTTTTTTAGAAATTTAAATGGGAAATCATTGCAGTAAAATTCTTTCTCCTGCTAACATTTAAAAAAAAATTATTTACCCTTGTGGCAGCGTTGCTGAATCTTCTTCCTGTCCTGGAGCATTAATGTGATAGACACAGAAGCTCTGCATCAGAACTTTTGTGTCCAGGTGATTAAAAAATGCGAGGAAGTTAGTTACATCTGCAAGAAGAAAAAAGTTAAAATATTTAACAAGAAAGAGTTTAATCTAATCGAAGAAAAAAATAATAAATAATCTAACTAACTTGTTTTACGTTTATTTCGTACCGTAAAATATTAGGGCTCATAGTAACAGACTATTAAAATAAATTTTAATTCGTAAGTTAATTTATGCAAGGTGTCCTTCTTCATTAGAGATGTTTAAAATTGAATAAGATATCACATTATAAGAGTTCTATATAGTAGATATAATATATATTCATGTAATATATTTTGTATAATATATTACTTATATTTATATTAAATATTATTTTACTTATGTTATAAATTATTTTATAATTATGTATAATATATTATTTAGTATAGTTATAATATATAACAGTTATTGAGAAAAGACAAAAAAAATTTATTGAACTCTGAAAAGCTTAAGGTACTTTCTTAAGAACATAGCAAAATAATCTAAACCGAGCCAACAGGCGGGTGAAATCTAAAAACAGTTCTCTTAGCATCTATTCGTAACAAAAAGTGCTTGTTAAAAAAAAATTTTGACAATTTTTTACGTATTTATTTCTAAAAATGTTTGTATATAGTGCCGTCCGGTTTGTACAATCACTGGTTAAAGAAATCAGTAGCTTATTGTCCTCAAATTTCCAGGAACAGAATCATTTGTGTATGATAACGTTTCAATTTTTTGGCTATTAGACTTTTGTTTACCAGATATTGGTGTATCTCTAAATAAGTATTTAGTTAGTACTACATAAATTCGTGTATCTCTAACCTTATTAGCATTAAGTTCAAATTAACATACCTTCAAATTAGATTTATACTTTACAGTTAAACTTCTTAAATTTTTGTAAGTTCACTTTAATATATCCTGCGATATATTCATATTTTAAATGCCATGAAAAACTGAGGACTATCTCATTTCTAATGTGATGTAGACATAACGGATAATGGAATCAGCCGTATGTTAGAATCAACCACGTACCGATGTGATCACAAAAAAACGGTGAGCACTGGTATTTGCTTACCATTATATTCTCACCATTATATTATTACCATATTACCTGCTTACCATTGTGTACTTAAAAGAACCATCAAATGTTTTATAAGATGTAAGATATGCTATACATATTAACTAAATATAGTGAAAAGACTTACGATTCAGGCCAATGTCGTGGTATGTGAATATAGCTGGTTTGTTCTTATCACCATGGACGGCTACAACCATTGTACCTGTGTCTGTCATTATTCGTTCTTCCTATAATAAAACAGTAGCGAAATGTACAAAAAAAAGAGATAAAATGTTCTGCAATATGAAATGCTTGGTAAATAATTACTTCGCTTCACAATTATTCAAGATTAGTTTTTGTCATATGCATATTCTTTCACCATTCTAAACGATTTCCATTGAAACTAGCCATTTCCTATTTCAATTTCTGAATTAATCTCTTATTTATTTATTAAATTTTCTTCGTTTCCTTTTGTGTGCTTTTCGAACAAACAAAGTAACACATCAAAGCAATTTTACAATAAGATTAGATAAAATAGAAAGAAGGCTTTAGATAAGGAAACTTTTAAAAGGTACCCTAAATAATTATATTTGTAAAATTTAAAATAAAATCTATTTATGTTTTTAATTATTTAAGTCACATTATTTAAAAATAGTTTTATAATCATATATTAGTTTTTTTTGTAAATACCAGAAGTATCCTTACTTACCCTTGAAGTAACTAAATTATTTGATGTTTAACCTCAGATAATTTACTTACATTAAAAAGTGAGAAAAACATTCCGAAATTTTTGAATGCATTTAAAGAAAATAATAAAGTGACGGGGAAAATTTTTGTGCATATACAGAAAAAACTCTATTTTAAAAAATTTAAAATATAGCAAAAATTATGTTCAATTACTTTTTGATAAAACTAAAAAAACGAGCTACCCTTAATCACTGTGTGTGAATTTGCTACCATTTTATAATTATTTGCTTGTTGTTTTTATGGGTTGTCAATGGTTAACAAGAAAACTTTTGATTCTTTCACACCTACACTCACAGTGTTACTCAAAAATAACCCATCGACTGAAAAATAATTTAAAGAAAAATGGGAAGGGATAGAAATATTCGACTTGCTGCGATCTATTTAAACCTGATGATGTTCTGAACAGTTTTGAAAATTTTGTCTCCATAGATGTCGCGTTTACTAAAACAAAACGATAATTAATGCATTCGAATAGCAACAGCATCGTTCCATGCTTGCAGAAAATTAATGCCACTGCAAATATTTCAATAGGAATAGTCTGACATACAGCTGAAAGCGTTTTTTATAGTTTTCTAATGCCGTCTATTGAAATGAGAATTTGTTTTTCAAAAAATCTAGTTTTCTAAGCAGTATGAATTAAACCGTTTATTTCTATTTGCTTCTGTTTTCCTTAGTTTTTAAAATTGTAGATCATTTTGGGGACACCCGGAAAGGGAAAAAGTCACACTGTTGAAATTTTCATTCTAAAATTATGTTAAAATAACCTGCAGTAGTCTATCCATCCAGTCAACCGTGAAGTTTACGGAAAAGACTTTTTCACCTTTTCGGATTTGAAACCATTCACAACTAGTACGGTTAAAAAAACCATGAATACAAATCTTGATGGTTTTTAAACCATTTACAACCAGCAATGTTTCAAAAGTATAAAAAAGAAATTTACCTAGAAATTGGCGATAGTTTAGCAGTTTTATGGTGCTGCCATTCATGCGTGAATGAGAGTATCGTATCTAATAGTCCAGGGTCACAAATTGGGTAGTGCAGGACACTGGCAAGTATTCAAGTGTCGAAAGAAATGTTGTGGTATCAGCGCTGGTACAAGATCTTCCTTTCCGTCGGTCATGAGACTGACAGATTAGACCTATCGGCTATAATATGTACGCAATTGCAAGGAACTGAGTGGCTACATTAGAAGGGCTTACTTGGTGAGATAAAGTTTTGGTTGTGTAACCGTATTAGGTGAAAGCAGTTAATAAACGGTTTTTCTCACAGTTAACAGTTTGAATACCATCTTATTTATGATTATTTGACTGTTTTGTTTGAATATGGTAAAATAACAATTAAATAAATTGTTATTTAATAATTTTTTCCGAGAAATTTCTATACATGAACAACCGTGAATTCAAAACCCAACCATTACGGGANTATATATATATATATATAATTAGAAGGGAAAAAAATAATAAATAAATGAATAAATAAATAAAAAAAATGCAATTTTAATTTCTCATTTTTTTTGACGATATCCTTGTGAGTTTCATTCAACTAAGTTTACCGCAACAGCCTGCTTAGTAGTGGAAAAACTTGTCCATTAAACTTTGCAAACAATCTAATTTCCTGCTTTAGGAACACGTACCTAATGGACGTCTGTAATCACAAAAAATTAATTTATTCTGTCAAGTCTTCAAATGAGACAGCCTTAAGAAGACAGATGTTTTGCAAACTTCTTCTTGGTGTTTACAAATACATCTTTTTTTTCTTCCTTCTATTATTTCATTCTGAAACCGATTTTTCCTACATGCACTCTTAACGTATTCTTCTGCTAAGCCCTAAGATTTTTTTTAAGATAGTGAGTATGCTTTGTAGAATTGTAGGCAAAGCCATCCCATCATTTTATCTGAGGTTTTATTTATTAGCTTAAACTTTGGAAGTTTTGCACCAGTGAAGGAAAACGAATATTAACATTAAAAAAAATATAAGAAATATTTTAGAACAAAGATAGCTGGTAAAATTTTAAGTAGGAAATTCAAATTGAGTGTTTCAGATAATGTGCTCTACTTGAAATGCGAGTTTTAAAAAATAAACCCGGCTCAAAATGCACGTTTAAGTAAAACAGACATAGCATTTGAGTCCGTATTTTAAATTATTGTTATGATTATTGGAAATTTAAAAAAATTAACTAGTAAATATTTATTATTCATTGTGTTTTTTTTTCTTCTTTTTTTTCAAGGCGAAGACTATTGCACCGACCTTTCATTGGCACAATACTGGTAATGCTATTTAAACGATCCAAACTCCGGTCAACCGTAACCGCTTAACCAAAAAACATTTAAAAAAAGTATCAGGGAAACGTATGCCGGGAAGGCACTTATCAACCCTAAAATATAAATAAGTCACGTTAACAGAACACACTCTGTGATTGGACGAAATTCGCTTTGGCGCTTCAACAAAAGAAACTTTATTTAATCGGTTTATTGAATTTTTTTACTCTGTTGAAAAAAAGTAAGAGAATTTTCCTATTTATCTTTTTAAGTGTAACGTTGGTTTTGAAAATTTGAGTTCATTGTTTAACTTCGACAAATCACATTTTGAGTTTAGTCTATTTTTTTTTAAATGCTTGCTTTACGCAATGTTTATTCTTTTCAAAAGAGCATTTCAGGGGATGTCCATTTCTTGACATGCCTGTGCTTTGAGTTGTGCCCAAAGTAAAAATTTCATCGACAATCTTCATTACAATTTGTATGATCACAAGGTTATTTTGGCGTCGTTTATAAATTCTGAAACAAGATACAGTTTGATGCTTAACATCAAGTTTATTTTATTCCGTATCTCGTTAATAAAATATACCCCTTACGTAAACTGAGAAAAAAAAATTCAAAAGCTAGCTATAGTTGTGGTTACAAATTTGGTCAATATTAAGTAATTGATTGCTGATATATTAAATGTATGCATCAGCAGAAATACATAAAATTTAGGGATCAAATATAGTTAAATAACAAAAAATTAAAATCTCCCTTTAGATAATACCACAGGAAAGTATTTTCAAAGCCATTAACAAAAAATAAATAAATAAATAAATTGGCAATTACTTTGTATTTTACTTACCGCTGTACAACTGGGATCACTTCTGGACATGCCTCTCATGAGTGGAAACTGTAGGTCTATACTTCGGAGCTCTGTATCCTCCGAAGTCATTTTGTTTGTTATTGCTGCAATAAAAACAAATGTTACTGTACTTAAAAATATTAAAGCTGGGACTAAATACACAGCATTAAATACAAACTTAACAAAATCTCAATATGAAGTTAAAAACCACTTTGGCTAAGGGTTAGAGCGTTCGTCACCCAGTTAGGTAAACCATTGTTGAATCCCAGTGTTGGATGGTTGATACGATGCTTCCGGCTCGCACTGAACACAGTGCTAATAATCCTAAGTAGTAGGCGGATCATGGGTTAAAATCTCCTTCCCGTCGGGCTAACCATGGGTCGTGGTTTTCCTTACCATTTAACGCTACTATGGGTTAGTTCCATCAAAAATCCGCCACAAGTTTTACGTACTTGCAGCATCTATTTGCAAGGAACTCATAATTAGTTCCAAACAATTATAACATCTAAGTTTAAAAAATATTTAGCTAGACTAATGTAACGTGAAATTTCAACAAACATATAAACAGGGTAGCTGTAGCTCAGGGAATAGAGCATTCGTCTCCCAAAGAGGTGATGCATGTTCAAATCCAAGAGTTAGAATTCTGTTCCCGGCTTGCTCCGACTACAGTGCTGACGTAAAATATCCACATGACACATACACAGATTACACATGAGTATTGGAAATCTCAAGTTAAATGCGTTGAAAATTATTATACTGACCAAACTTCATTTGTACGAGTAATTAACAATAATAACTGGTAAATGTGATAAATTCGAAAAGATTAATCAATATAACCCACTAACTTGTTTAAAATTAATAATTCAGCCTGTTTTGTTACATTTCATGAGCAGCATTAAAAGACGCATTTTCCAACAAGATAACTCTCGCCCTCATATTGCTGTTGTAATCTGTCTTGCTCTTCAGTATGTTGACATGTTGCCTTGCCTGGCTAGATCATCAGATCTTTCACCAATCGAGCACATATGGGCCATCATTGGATGACAACTTCAGCGTCATTCACAACCAGCATTAATTATCCCCCAACAGGCATGGAACTCCATCCCACAAAATGACATACGTTTGCATATTTGCATTCAAAATTTTGGCGGTTGCACCGGTTATTAATGTACCAGTATTTCACATTTGAAATGATTTTTCTCTTAATTTCAATCTGTGATCTTGAAACTTTAATCAAATATGTTGCTCAGACAAACGCATTGCCGAAATTTTATTGCTCTACAATAATTTTTCCTTGGTGCTGAGATTTTTTTCCATATTATTTTTCCATGTATAAAGCAGTGGATAAAAAGAAAGGCCATTACAATTTATTTACACAACACACAAAAAGCAAGCTTTAATAAAAAAAAAGTTCCACTAACACAGTCCAAACACAAAAGCTGACAAGAAAATCTATAAATCGAATCAAAAATAAACACGGCAAGAAGCTGTCGACTCTTTTCATTAGAATTCAATACTATCGTTTGTAGTAGCACCTTGAGGCTACCTACATATGTTGCATTGCAAATGCGTAGCAACGGGATTGGTTCTGTTGTATACTTTTAACTCACCAATTTATTGACGCAATTAGATATTTATAGAAATATTTGACTTTATATGTAAGTATATTAGTTTTATTAGGCACATATAAAGATAGAAAGATTAGTTAGGTTTAATAAGTGTACTAATTAGAAATTTCAAATTAATATTAAGCGTGGAAGTACAAAAACGTCATTTAATACTAACGAACCATTGCGGAGGAAGATAAAAGTTAAAATATCAAAATCTGCTTGCTTTTCTAAAGGAATATGAAGGTATTTTTAATAAATGCATTTCAACTTCTTCTGTTTCCTATGGCAATCAAACGGGTTATATATATATATTCTTTTACTTATTCAACAGTTCTATGATAAAAAGTGTTAATATGCTAATAATCTCGATTAAAAATTGTGTTTCAAGCGATTTCGTTTTGAGCTCGATCTTAAATTCCACGATTATTGAGAAGGGTTCGTAAAATCCACTAACTCTTACATGCTCATCACGGTATGTTAGTCTATTAAGATTAAACTTTTACATGACTAAAATTTTTTTTTTTCGTTCGCATATCAATAAAAAATATGATTGTATTTATTATTTACCTGTTGAAAAATATAGCAACCGCACCAACCTGCACCAACACTTTCATTAAAAGCATTATTTATTTTTATTTATTTATGCCCATCTAATGCCCATCCGTGTTAACTTTTCGTTAATTCCGGCATTTACAGGCCAGACTTGTTGCCCACTCTTTCAGGGACACCATATTAGGTGGGCCAACGTTTGCTCCCACAGTAACGACAGATAGTACAGAAAATGAAACAACATCCATGTCTTGTTACTATCCATGCCAAAAAAATTTGGACAAGCAATTTTTAATACAACTTCATTCAAAGTATTAATTAAGAACTAAAAAGAAATATAGCAAATAATAATAATAGTTGAGTTTTACTGATAAATAAATTTAATTGGTATCAAAGCAGTCGTCTTGCAGCTCGGCAAAAACGCTTATTGAAATTTTCAGGAACGGTCCGCAAGTCTTCTACCTTTCATCTATCCCATTCATAAGTGAATGTATGAGTGGTTGTTTTAGAGAGTCAAAACTTTAGAGTATACCGATTGCGTACAAACCAAGTGAACGAATTCACACTGATGTTTTTCTTGCTTAAACAATTCTGAAATAGCAAATCTTTTGCTAGACATCGTTAAAAGTAAAATAAGAAAAATTGGGAAAGAAAAGATATATTCTAAAGTATTTTAAAATTTAAGTGGTGGACAAAAAGAAATAAACACACGAATTAAAAAAGAAATTAGTTAAGTTCTATTTCATAAATGCAATAACTTGGTCCGGGTTTTTTTTCTGACGTGCCTTGTATTAAAAAGGAAGTATTAAGCAAAACTAAGCAAGAATGGAGTAATTACAAAGCATTCTCATTAACTGAAAAGTCATATTATCAAAATAATTAATAACTAACAGCAAGTGCATGCCATTCTACATACTATATTACAACTATGATATACTTCTCCATTAATTATTTTCATGTCTACAGCGACTAAACTTTTAACTGCAAATAAAGGGTAAACTGTTTTCTATAAAATTAAGCATGACTAGGGGAGTGAAAAAAGAATAAGATAACTTTATTTAGAAATTTTTTCTTCTTTTTTTTATTTTTTTTTTTACCTAATTCACATAATTAAATTAGGACTATTTCTGTTTTATCAAATAAAATCGATTTTCTTTTCTTCTTCTCCCTATTGGGCGCCTCTTTCTCGCGTCATGCGGCATCTTGACGATTTTTGCCAAGGCCCTTAATTGGCATTTTACAATACCATTATTTAAATATCTAAATACCGCATCGAGTAATATAATTTTCGAGGCCTGATTCAACCCATTAATGACCAGCAGCGAAAAGTGGACAATATTTGAAAAAACCTTCATGAAAAATTGATTGCTTATACCAATAAGATATTTCTTTCTGTTACTTACAACTTTAGCCTCTAATATACATTGTTTTTTTATTGCAGATTCAAATATGAATATTTAGATTATGAATGCTTTGTGGTTGGCAAAAATATATTTCTGTAAAATAAATCCTTATAATTAAAAACGTGTAAGACCACTTTTCTTTCTTTTTTGATAAAAATTTTTTTGAACTCAAATGATTTTTGAAGTTTTACACTCTTTTAAAAGGATGTCTGACACTAAAGGGTCAAATGTGAATGCGATAAATCACTTATTCTACTGATAAAGACGAAATCAAAAGGGAACCAAAGAGTAATTTCCAAACAATTCGCGAATCACATGGTAACGCAAAATTTCCATTTGTAGTTTTTATCAATGTTATTCCAGCCAAATCAACTATTTTATGTTAAGTCATACACAAAAAGGTAATTTTTTTTTTTACAAAACCCTTTGTGCCACAATTTTTTTATTAAATAAAAATGTCTAGTGTTTCGATCGATTGGAGTTGCCAGGGTATAGAAGCATATAGTGCGACACGCTCCAACTACGAAATCACGTGATCCACAAAATAAAACGAGTGGGCTGAAATCATTAACCACCCAACAAATGTATCAAGGACGATAAAATATTTTCACGGTACTCGCTTCACAACCATTCTCCCGAAAATATGCACGCAATTTGGGAAACAGTTGAAGAGTGTATAAATAAATCTTCAAAAGGCGTTCTGGAATTTCAAAACTTTGAATCACACTATCATAATATCGCATTCATGAATTTGTTTAATGAATTGCGCTTTCAGGATAATTGTCAGAAAGAAGTTTAATGAAGCATGAAGTTTTTGAGAGACGATATGATTTCCCACCTCTGCGATTAGAAATAATAATTTTATTTTTCCACCTACATTAAGTAACTTAGTTGATAAAATAAACTATTTTGGGCATACATAACTGCTTTAACCATAAAGTAATATTTTTTTTTATTTGTGTGAAAAATCTAACCAAATACTAAATATATTTTTATATTTTTGTACTATAAATAGTCTCACTCTCTTTATTAGTCTCTTCCCTTGTATTAAAACAAATTATTTTAAAAAAATCTTGAACTTAAGAAAAAAGAAATTCGAAAAATAGTTTTTAAAAAAAGTAATATCCGTAAAATGAACCAACCTCAAATGATAAGATATTTGCACTATAAAGCGCTAGAAAAACTTTTTCCTCTCAAATGGAATGAAATATTAAAAATTCCAGATTTAAATGTAAAGGGAAATTTAATGGAAATTAGAAAAAGGGAGTTTTACTTAGCTAATTCAAGATCTTTTTACATTTGATAAGAATTTTTATTTTCTCTAGATTAGTTTTATTTCTTTCTGTTTCCAACTAAAACTCAGATTACTTTGAAGATTTTTGTAAGTATAATTTTATTCAAATTATAATTTATAATAATTCTATTTTTTTTAAAAACATTTATAATGACTTTTTGGCTGAGAAAGATGATAGCATAGGATTTTTTTAAGGAATTGAGAGTTGTTTAATAGCCTTTTTTAAATAAAATGTGTTGCGGTATAAA